TTATTTCCCCCTGTCCAAGCCCTTTATATTTTTGTCTTTCCACATTGAATTTCCCCTGCTGACCCTTTTTGTTTACTCCCTCCTGAAGATCGATGCAGTTTCCTGACTATATGACGTTGTATAACTGGGAATAAACAAAGACTCAATATGGCTCTCTCTATGTTAGCCTTGAGCCCCAAAGGAGAAGTGTGTACTATGCACAACACAATGTTTCCTCTTGGTTCAGATTTACTGACACTCAATTAATCAGTGACTCTGGCTTTGTTGTGGGGTTTTTGGCCACTGCTGGAGCTGCTATTGTGCTCCTTCCGGCTTCTGACTGTGTGCTGCCTCCCTGTGGGAGAGTTCAGTACTACCAAAACACTGTTCTCTTTCACACTACTGGGCTTGAAGCGACCTTTTTAAAAAGATCTTGAGAAGTCTTAGAAAGCATTGCCTTCAGCCTCCTCTAAATGCATGTTTGAAGGTGAAATAGGTTCAATAAATAATTGACAAGTCTTTTTAATAGTGCTGCAACAATTAGTTCAACTTTGAGAAACAAGCATGGTCATTTTATTAAAACAATTCTATAGTACAAACGAGTAATCATTTTATCTGGAAAATAACCGGAGGACAAATGACAACATTTGCAGCCCTACTTAAGAATGTTTGTTTAAAAAGGTTTTGTGTCCGACTGCTGTCTGATCAGAGAATCTTAGAAACGTAAGATTGTTTTAACATTGCATTTTGCATGCATGAGGCACCATCATGATGCATTCATTGTAAAAAAAAAAAAACACTAATGTTATGCTTGTTATCCAGGTTGCGATATTTAAAATGTATTTTATATTCAAAATAATTTTTAACACCGCTGATAATTGCTTGAAAAAGGTAATTTAAGTGCGTTTTTAATGTGGTTAAAAAAAGGTCTTGGAGAGTGCTACTTTACATTTGTGGTAACCCTGCTGTTAATTGAGTTTATTTCTGCCTCAATAACCATTTATTTAAAAAAACAAAGTACTAAACTTGACAGATACATAGATTTAGCTAAGTAAAGTCCTGCTTTTTCTCTTTGGGTTAATCAGATGAGAGTTTGCAGCAGGCTTTGTCAGTTGTCACTTTGTCCCTAATGCCCTCTGTAAACGGAAACTGGTCCTTATACTGTATGAATCATTATTCTGAAACTTGATTTCAAGCCGTGTGTGTGTGTGTGTGTGTGTGTGTGTGTGTGTGTGTGTGTGTGTGTGTGTGTGTGTGTGTGTGTGTGTGTGTGTGTGTGTGTGTGTGTGTGTGTGTGTGTGTGTGTGTGTGTGTGTGTGTGTGTGTGTGTGTGTGTGTGTGTGTGTGTGTGTGTGTGTGTGTGTGTGTGTGTGTGTGTGTGTGTGTGTGTGTGTGTGTGTGTGTGTGTGTGTGTGTGTGTGTGTGTGTGTGTGTGTGTGTGTGTGTGTGTGTGTGTGTATAGGTGCTTGGATAAAGAGCAGTTGGGGTCACGTGCAGCGAGAGGGCAACCAGCTCAGTCTGACTTACATCGCTCCTCAGCTGGGATACTGGGTGGCCGCCATGTCTCCAATACACTCAGGTGAGAAGCTGCTTTCACACAGATCATCATCATGTAGAGTGAAGATATAGTCCTAAAGGCACAATGAGTAGGATTCGCTATAAATGTAAGGACTCGTACACAAATATATTCATAATCCTTCTTAATCATCAGTTATGACCCAATAAAAGAAGGACACCTCAGACTGGATTTTCTTTCTCTTTGAGCACAGTCCAACTAGTCTTTCTGCCTTTAGCAAATACCAAAACATTTTGTTTCCACCTTTCGGTGAAAGTGGTATGAAAGTAGTTGCATATTAAATCAGTTTCTGTATGACCTCTTGTCTATCCAACAGGTCCAGTGTTTGCGAAGGACATCAGCACGTACCACACAGTGTTCCTGTTGGCTATACTGGGAGGCATGGCTCTCATCCTGCTCTGCCTGCTCTGTCTCCTGTTGTACTACTGCAGGTGTGTGAAAGTCTTTCCAAAGCTATATGTCATAAAGTTTATTTTAAAAACTATCAGAAATCAAAGAGCGAAACATTGAGTTTGTTTTGTTGCTGCCAATTTTGAATATAAATTCTTCTTGCTACGTAACAACCTTTTGCATGCCTTCAGCATCCATTGTCAAAAACTGTCATAGTGTCAACATTTAGTCTAAATGTGCTGAAGAGCCATTTTAAAGGGTTCTTCATCTCTCTGCAAGTAACAGAATCTATCAATCCATCAGTTATCATATAAGTGCTAAATAAATCCAAGTTGTTTTAGCAGTTCATGTAACATAAACTGTCTTGGTTGCACTAGAAGGTGTTAACAAGTACTGCACAAGTACTCTGGTACCACTGCTCTACTGTAAATATTAGCCCTAAGGGAGTTATGTTTTCCAATTTAAGTTAACATCACAGAACTTTTTAAGTTAAAGTAATTCCCATGATTGAATCATATCCTCTGTTGTGTCTCTGTGATGTGCAGGAGACGTTGTTTGAAGCCTCGAGTGTCTCACCGCAAGCTCACTATGTCCTCTGGTCTGGACAGCAGTAAGAAGGATCAAGCTACCTCCATGTCGCACCTGGACCTCATCAGCAGCGAGGTCTGTAGGACTCTCACAGAACACTTTATTCACAAGTTTTAATTGCACTGTCCTAATGAATGTCAAAGGAAGTACTTGTTCACTGTGTCAGGGAATATCTGAGGGCCTCGTCTTAATATGACCCATCAACATTGTTGCCAAAAAGCAATCATAGTATATATAAAGTACTGTATAAATAAATTAAATGTGACATATATCCTAAGACACGCAGAAAGAGAAACCCTTTCAAATGCAATATCAAGAATAATCAATATGATATCAGTATTTTACTAAAACTAAATATAATATCTGTGGTTTCCATTTTGTTAATTTGTTCGCTACACTTCTGAAAATCACCTTCTTTCTCTAATGTCAAATGACGTCTTTACTGTGAGTATATTGAAACAGTTTCTTACTCTATTATTGTTTTGTCTTTAGGCGCAGCTGGAACTTGTTTCCACTGCGACTGAGCCCAACATGACCACACCGATGCTGAAGCCGTCCTCATATGAGCAACAAGACAATCATCGTCAACACAGCCTAATCCATCACAGCAAACACAGCCGCTCCTCGCTCGGCAACAGCCACCACGGCTCTTCTCTTGGCAACCTGACGCCGCGCAGCAGAGACTACCGGCAGTCTGCCGAGACGTTCCAATTAAAGTCCGCCCTCTCGTGTGGGACAGACAGAGGCTACCGCCAATCATACACCTCCGTCTGTTCGTCCAGCAACCCGGTTTCAGACGCACTGTCGTCGGCCAATCAAGGTCAGGTGTCTGCCAATCAGCTGAGCAGTGTCGGGATTGTTGACTTCATCTCCCCTTCCTCTCCCCCTCACTCCCCCAGTAGAGGGGAGGTGTGTGAGTGCAGAGCTCCTGACTACCTCCTCTCCCGCTCTGTGGACCACCTGGAGCGCCCCCCCCCCCCACTGCTCCCCAGGCCGGGCCAGCTGCTCTGCTGCGGCTCCGTGGACCTGCTGAGTGGGGGGGAGGGCTACCCGAGGGTGCGTCCCACCCTGGTCATCCCAGCTCACTACATGCGCCTGCCGGGGGAGCACCCTCTGTCCGGTCAGGCACTTCTACTACAGACTGACCAACAGAGTGACTTGGAGACCATCCAGGCTGAGCTGAATGCCTCACATTCCCAGCAGCCACTGGGGCAATCCCTCTCTGACCTCGGCCCGCATCCCGCCAAACAGGGCGGTGGAGAACGTATGGGGCTGTCGGAGTCTCTGTCCATCCCAGCAGCGCTTGGGGAAACGGGTCTGATGGAGATAAACAGCGAGGACACGTTGTTGGCTGAAAAGACTTTAATGGAGCTCAGGGGAGGGAAGCCTCTGCCTCACCCACGAGCCTGGTTCGTCTCGCTTGATGGACGCTCCAACGCTATTCGCCACTCCTACATTGACCTCCAGCGGGCGGGGTGCCACAGCAGCTCGCCAAGTGGAGGAGGCCAACACGATACTGGCAGCGGTGGGAGGCGGGGCAACGATGCCAGCTTGGACTCCGGCGTGGACCTGAACGAGCTGAGAGTGGGCCGCAGGGGGAGAGTTGTAGGATGGCAGGAAAGAGGGATTGCGAAAGACAGGTCGAAGAGCACAGCACCAGCCATGGCCTACACTCAGCTGGTGTATGTGGATGATCTGGACGGGGGCGGCAGCGAGGAAGAGACGCCCAAATGCAGCCCAGAGGACAGTGACACGACACACATCCTGTCAGACAAAGCAGAGGGTCAGAGGGGAGATCTGGGGGGTGAGGAGGGGAAAATAGAAGAGGTGGTACAAATACAAGAGGAACCGCCCTCACTTTCCTCTTCATCCCCTTCTTCTCCTCCTCCCCTGCCAACACCTGAGGGAGAGACGTTCAGGACTGATCATGTGCTGCTGTCAGTGTCTCCTGATGACGATGCAGCACAGGATGATGGAGAGGAGGAGAAGAAGAGTCCCTGGCAGAAGAGAGAGGAGCGACCTCTGCTGGCCTTCAACCTGAAATGATCCACAGGTGACCACTTCAAGGATAGCCTCACACTTTTTTTTTTAATCAAATACTCACATGCCAATAAGTACATAGAAAGCATGTTTGGTTGCTGTAATTATTCCTACTGTGCATAATGGTCCGTCTTAAAGTGATGGTGAGACAAAAACCAAACGTTTTTGTTCTGTGCTAAAATATTTTCTAATTTGGTCTGATTTAGTATCAATCTTACATATTGGAGATCTCGCAAAATCCTTCTTTTATTTTTTTTTAAATGGATAGAGGATTTTATTATCCCTATAGGAAATCTAGGCATTACAATAAAAAGTAGTAAGTATAGGCAGTACAAATACATAGCAACTATCTCAGAAAACGGATGCATTTCTACACTTCTTAGTTTCATCTCAACACACAGAAATAATACTTTTAATTCAGTGTGATTTACACTTACATATTTCATTCTCTCAGATGTCCATCGTAAATAAACTCCATAAATATGCTTAGAATTTAAGAGAAAATCTCACAACAGATTCTAATCATATAATCATCCCGTTATATATGTATAGGGATACAACAAGTACAATGACCAAAATTGTTCAGCTGTACATATGGGCATGTCAGTTTTTATTTGAGACTTCAAAAGTGTGAACCTATCCTTTAACTATGACTCCTGTTTTTGCGCCGATCATAACGTGAAGGAAAAGACCATTTTAATTATAGCTCTTTGTTTTCTTAATAGAGCACTGACATAATATTTCAGCACTGGGATACCTCCTAGTCCAGAGCTTCAGGTTCCCTTTATTAAAAGACCACTGTTGTTCTCCACACTTTCCATAAACTCATCAGGATGGAGTGATGTACACTTGACGAAGACAAATGGACGATGGAGGCGAGAAAGTTGAATATTTTATGCACAACAAATATATGCCTTTTTTATAACTAGCCTTGTGCGCATAAAGGAACTGTTGGGGGAACAGACTATGGGTGGTTCTCACAAATGAACGAATACAGGAGCCTTTTTCTCTAGCCATATTGGCCTCTGTCCACTGACTGTAAAGAACACACTACACTTCTTTATCGTGAGATGAATACCCTCATTTTTAAGATTGTGGAGCATCTGTGCCAAAATATGGCAGGTGATCATACTCTTTCCTTAGTCTGTCAGGAAGAGTCTTACAGTGGGTTCTGCACAGATAATCAGCCCTGACATAAACATGTGAATCCTGTACTTTTAATTGGTTTTAAGGATGATGCTAGAATTTAATCTAGCCCATCAGAATGCTGAATGGGTTTTTAGATGATCCACAGAGGGGGTAAAGTGTTTGGAGTACTGAAATGAAACCACTATCCGCACTGCACAGATGTGACACACCACTCTGCTGGTTATAAGGATGTAATACCACTGCAAAACTGTAGTTCCACCAACAAAACAAAAAGTGTGAGGTGTAATAATATGAAGGGTTTTGTGCTTGTTGAACCACTGACTAGAATATTTTTGCTCTGAAGGCTATGCATCACTTTTATACGGCTGCTTGAGATGCCTTTTTTGTCATTTTAATCAATATAATTTGAATTGCCAACATGAAGTATTTTACCTGGGAAAATAGGCTATTTTTATTTCCTTTAATATGTTAAGGACTTTTTTTCCTAACTCGCCTTATGTTAAGACTTTCAAAAACACAACTGCAAGTTTTACCTGAAACCAAACTATTTTTTGCATGCTCTGTTTCACCTTATTTTAGTTTTTAACCTTTTCCTCATGTTCCAAGTGCCTTTGAACACCCTGACTATCCAATTTGTGGAACAGAAAACCTTATTTATTTCTCACCTTCTTTTGCCTTTAGCTTCTCTCCTCTACCTCAGCCCTCCCTTTCTCTCCCACTTGTGAAAGAAAGCATGCAGTAAACTTTCCTCAGCACTAGCATATTACAAGCTACACTGCAGACGTTTCAGAAAATGTCTACCAGCTGCTTCAATCGTAAAATCCTCTACAGTAATCAGCAAGGCACCAATCTGTCTTAGACTAAGCAGTTAAGGATTTACAAAAGTTTTGAGTGAAGCACGGAATAGATAAAGCTAAGTGCGATTGTATGTGAAGCGAAACTGCAGGTCATTTCAGTGCATTTTCTTACTTTAGTGTCTGTAGAGGGTGAATGTTCGTCTCGAATGTGTGTGCCTGGGTTGTGTTCATCTGCTCTGCTGCTGGCTGTGAGTTTGTGTTGTCAGACTGTGTGTCGATGCAAAACCGCTGACAAATAATCAACATACATCCACTCAAGGTTGATATAGTCATAGCAATCATATTAAAGAGTGTGTATAGTTTTTACTTTGCTTCACCTGGTCAAATGATGTGTGAGTTGTTGTGAATGTTCTCTTTTCTCTTAGTATCCCACAGCAATCTCCAGGTCGAGGGTGGAGTTGCAGTAGTACAGCATCCTGAGTGTGTTGCTGGGTTGCTTGCATTATATTTGAAGCCTATTATTCTAATAAACCGCCAAACTGGAATTATTTGTGTGTTTTGATTTGTGTAATGATGAACAAACGTATATCAAGTAAGTTGCAGCATGAGAATTTGTATTTATTTGATGTCCTGTTCAATAAGATTGTCAATTGATGGCAGTACCAAACCTCTCAACATAAAGTGTTATAACTTTGTGATTTTATCCAACGGTGGGTCTTATTGTTTTACTTAGCTGCCACTTTGACCTATAGTTTCTAACAGCCACTTTTAGCTTTTTTTCATACCAATTTTGAAATCATGTGAAACTAGAATTGTAATACTGATTCAATAGTACCAGACAGATATATGTTATGTTATTTCAATGAATAACACATACAGTGGGGCAAAAAAGTATTTAGTCTGCCACCAATTGTGCAAGTTCTCCCACTTAAAAAGATGAGAGAGGCCTGTAATTTTCATCCTAGGTATACCTCAACTATGAGAGACAAAATGAGAAGAAAAAAACAAAATCCAGAAAATCACATTGTCTGATTTTAAAAGAATTTATTTGCAAATTATGTTGGAAAATAAGTATTTGGTCAATAACAAAAGTTCATCTCAATACTTTGTTATATACCCTTTGTTGGCAATGACAGAGGTCAAACGTTTTCTGTAAGTCTTCACAAGGTTTTCACACACTGTTGCTGGTATTTTGGCCCATTCCTCCATGCAGATCTCCTCTAGAGCAGTGATGTTTTGGGGCTGTCGCTGGGCAACACGGACTTTCAACTCCCTCCAAAGATTTTCTATGGGGTTGAGATCTGGAGACTAGCTAGGCCACTCCAGGACCTTGAAATGCTTCTTACGAAGCCACTCCTTCATTGCCCGGGCGGTGTGTTTGGGATCATTGTCATGCTGAAAGACCCAGCCACGTTTCATCTTCAATGCCCTTGCTGATGGAAGGAGGTTGTCACTCAAAAGCTCACGATACATGGCCCCATTCATTCTTTCCTTTACACGGATCAGTCGTCCTGGTCCCTTTGCAGAAACACAGCCCCAAAGCATGATGTTTCCACCCCCATGTTTCACAGTAGGTATGGCGTTCTTTGGATGCAACTCAGCATTCTTTCTCCTCCAAAAACGTCTAGTTGAGTTTTTACCAAAAAGTTCTATTTTGGTTTCATCTGACCATATGACATTCTCCCAATCCTCTTCTGGATCATCTAAATGCTCTCTATCAAACTTCAGACGGGCCTGGACATGTACTGGCTTAAGCAGGGGGACACGTCTGGCACTGCAGGATTTGAGTCCCTGGCGGCGTAGTGTGTTACTGATGGTAGCCTTTGTTACTTTGGTCCCAGCTCTCTGCAGGTCATTGACTAGGTCCCCCCGTGTGGTTCTGGGATTTTTGCTCACCGTTCTTGTGATCATTTTGACCCCACGGGGTGAGATCTTGCGTGGAGCCCCAGATCGAGGGAGATTATCAGTGGTCTTGTATGTCTTCCATTTTCTAATAATTGCTCCCACAGTTGATTTCTTCACACCAAGCTGCTTACCTATTGCAGATTCAGTCTTCCCAGCCTGGTGCAGGTCTACAATTTTGTTTCTGGTGTCCTTTGACAGCTCTTTGGTCTTGGCCATAGTGGAGTTTGGAGTGTGACTGTTTGAGGTTGTGGACAGGTGTCTTTTATACTGATAACGAGTTCAAACAGGTGCCATTAATACAGTTAACAAGTGGAGGACAGAGGAGGCTCTTAAAGAAGAAGTTACAGGTCTGTGAGAGCCAGAAAATCTTGTTTGTTTGTAGGTGACCAAATACTTATTTTACCGAGGAATTGACCAATTCATTCATTAAAAATCCTACAATGTGATTTCCTGGATTCTTTCCCCCCATTCTGTCTCTTAAGTGTACCTAGGATGAAAATTACAGGCCTCTCTCATCTTTTTAAGTGGGAGATCTTGCACAATTGGTGGCTGACTAAATACTTTTTTGCCCCACTGTATACCTGGGAATAAAAAAACCTGACTTTTAGTTAGCACAATTTAATCTTTTGATGTTTCATTATGTGTTAAGTTTGTATTTTGGGGGGAATTTGCACCATTAATTAAGTAGGCTACTTTTGAGGTACTTGTACTTTACCTAAGTATTTTCATTTTATACTTCTACTCTGCTCCATTTTGGTACCAAATGTTATACTTTTTACTCCACTACGTCCGACAGATTTATTTACTAGTTACTTTATCACTTCAGATGTTGACACTCAATACTCAGGGAAAACGTATTAATTATGATTAGGCCTCTTTGGTTCAGATTAAACCATCCAACATACAAAGTACCTTTATTTAAGTAACATGCAGTAGTTTTACAATGTGGTATTAGTACGTTTACCCAAGTAAAGAGTATGAATACGTTTTCCACCACTGCTTATAATCAGATTTAATTCTAACAAATGTTCACGATAAAAGGTGGAGTTCGGCTCTGTTCTGTTTTCCCCACATTGGCCTCTAAGCGGTGCACTTTCCTTCAGAACTTCTTTGTTTTTCCATCTCTCGCCCGCTGCCCGTGATCTCTATCATACACGGTGGCTGGCTGCAATTTTTAAAAACATTTTTATGATGGCGGAGGATAGTGAATCTGCGGCCAGTCAGCAGAGCCTGGAGCTAGACGACCAGGATACCTGCGGGATAGACGGAGACAATGAAGAGGAGAATGAGCATTTGCAAGGGTGAGGATGGCCTGTCCGGTCGGGAGGCGCAGTTATCTCAGGAAGCCTGTTTGTGTTTATGTGTGCTCGGCCGGGAACGGCTAGCGCAGTTAGCTAACGTTAGCCGACACAAAAACAGCCAGGCTGTCTGCCAAAGTCCTCATTTGAAACCTTAAAGTGTTGTCACTTATGGTGTTTTATCCCTGTGTACCCTCGGATACATGTTTTACTCTCAGCTAGCTGTTAGCATCCTGATTGAATGACATGATGACAGCCAGCCGTTCAGACAAACCGTTAGTTAGCTACCGTTAGGTTAGCTCAGCTGTCATCGTTGCTATGGTAGCTAACGTTAGCTCACTGCTGCTCTGGTTCTGTGTGCCGAGAGTCAAACCATTTCAGTGACCCCTGTTTAATGACGTGTTTGTGTTCACATATGTAGGAGTCCAGGAGGAGATTTGGGGGCCAAGAGGAAGAAGAAGAAGCAGAAGAGGAAGAAAGAGAAGCCAAGCTCGGGGGGAGCCAAGTCTGATTCTGCATCTGACTCTCAGGAGATAAAGGTGCGATGAGGAGCCACTGAAATGGAAACACACCCTTTTCAGGCCACATTTTAAGCCATTACCCACTAACCTAGTTCCAGACCGATGGTAAACAAGGTACTAGGAGTAGGAAAAGGGACACAAGGAATAGGATTTCTGCACACAGGCAGCAACCTAAGAAAACCAAGTTGGTTTGCGATCAGTGTCAATGGGATTATATTGGTTTAGAATTTGCTTACATTTAATAATACCAACGCTTTAAACCCATATGTGTATTTATCTTATTCATTCCCTACCACATTCATTTGCAATCCACGAGGATGCAAGTTCCATAAGTGACATGACTTGTCCTTATTGAAGTCAGTGCTTCTTCATGCTGAGCTGAAGCTTTTACTCTTCCAAGTTTCTTTCATAGAATAACAGACTTGTCAAAATAAGTAAATAAATAGGTTTCTCATGTTTCTGACTGAACAAAAGCAGGGATACTAGTAAATAAACAGGGCTATGAGTATGCAAGTAAACAAACCAAGAACAGAGTTTGACAGGTGCATGAACTGAACTACAGCTGTGGACATGTGACCTATGATCTGATGTTTAGTGGGAGAGATCACTTAAACTTGCACCTAACATCCTTAGGGTTTGGGTTTATTTTGGAAGAGGTTATAAGTCTCGCACATGCCGTCTGTGTGTGTGTTGTGACAATTGTTTCATAAAGGACATTCGGATGTTATGTACTAACTTTGTTGTACATGTTCTTATTAGTGTACGTGTCCCCTCTCTACATGTAGAACCCTGGCTTGCCCATTCAGAAGCTGCAGGACATCCAAAGAGCCATGGAGCTGCTGTCCTGCCAGGGTCCAGCAAAGAGCATTGATGATGCATCCAAGCACAAGTACCAGTTCTGGGACACCCAGCCTGTGCCCAAGCTAAGTAAGTATAAACTTAATTTAGGCAGAGTGAGCTAAAGTATTGTTTATTTAATAAGTATCATTAGACTAAGCTGTTTTGACGGAAGCAGATTGTTTTTATGTAGCCCTATTGTTTTTAAAGACATCAATGGTTGGGGTTTTCTCTGGATCATTGTCACCTGAACAAAATGCAAAATCAAAGCTCCAATAGAAATGTATATTGACATTTTTTTGTATATCTTTGATAAGAGTTGTGCTATTTTTGCAGATGAGGTGGTGACTAGTCACGGGCCGATAGAAGCTGACAAAGAAAACATCAGACAGGAGCCATATTCCTTACCTCAAGGCTTTATGTGGGACACTCTGGATCTCAGCAATGCAGATATAGTAAGTATAGTGTTTGTCTCAGACATTAAAACATTCAACTTATTTGACCATTTTCAAGATTAGTTTTTGGATAAAACATTTTGTTGAAGTGACACACTAAAAAAATGGTTTATCTTTCAGCTGAAGGAGCTGTACACATTGTTAAATGAAAACTATGTGGAGGATGATGACAACATGTTCAGATTTGATTATTCACCAAACTTTCTCAAATGGTAAGCTTTCAGCTCTGATGTTATTCAAATAAACTCCCCCCCCCAATATGTAGTTAAATTACCCATCAGTCTGTTCTCCCACTAAAACCCCTCCCCTCTCTCAGGGCTCTGCGTCCCCCTGGTTGGTTACCACAGTGGCATTGTGGAGTGAGGGTGTCCTCAAATAAGAAGCTTGTTGGCTTCATCAGTGCCATCCCTGCAGATATACGCATCTATGACACGTGAGTGCTCCTTACTGATCATTTGCATTTAGATCAAAACAGTAATATTACATTTTTACCACAATGCACATCTTGTCTCCTTCTGCTGCTCCAGAC